GTATGCCTTGAATGCACCCATTTAAGTGATAATCAAATAGAAATAAAATTGTTATAAATTTTTTTGTCACTATTGCAGAAAATTGATGTTTCAAGTATAGAGGAATTTTTTGGCTTAACAACAGATGTACAGAAGAATTCAGACGCTGGCTATATCTTATTCTACCAAACACGCGATTTATAGCCAACACTATGCAAATAATTAAATCAGACAATCTTTTCCAAGAAGAATCAGATGCCTTGTAATGATATAAGAATGTTGGAGATATGCAAAGGTTTGGACAGAGGAGAGGAAAAAGAAGCAGATAAAAAAAAATGCAGGAGAATTTTAGATAAAATATCAATACATTTCATTTTTTACTTTGGTTATTTTAGAGGTACCATTTTTGGGTGTGGTTACTAAATATAGTTTATTACTCTGTGATGTGGTTGGTTGAATGCAGTGCATTCTAGATCCAGGATCTTCTCTGATAGCAACCTAAATGACAGAAGATTTGTGTTGTACAGGATAAGGCTCATTTGCTGCAGCACCACATTTTTTATCACCTGAGGCATGCTACAGTAGAAGCTATCAGACAAAAGAGTTGTGTTGTTCAGGAGCAGGCTCATTGTAGCACCAGCTATTATTACCTGAGGCATGCTACAGTAGCAAGCTACCAGACAGAAGAGTTGTGTTGTTCAGGAATAGGCTCATTGTAGCACCACCTGTTATCACCTGAGCCATGCTACTGTAGCAAGCTAACACACAAAAGAGTTGTTGATTTATACGAATGCTGCATCACTAACATCACAATTAAATAAATAAAAGAACTTAAAGTTATACTCATTATTGGGTTATGTTAATTATATTTATTATTTGGTGACAGTAATCCCAACAAGAATTTATATTAATAAGATAAAAACTGTGTTTATCCTGTTTGAGAAATTCTTTGCTTCATAATATGGCGTGTTAAGATTTTATACAATGAAACTCTTGATAATGTTTTGTGATAACTTTATTGCAATTCTGCAACCTATGGATCATGATTCAAACACTGTCATGGACACATTTTGATGGGTTGCCTTTTGCTTTAGTTTAGAGAAAAATTAATTTCCATATTAGTTACTTCAAACGACAACAAATCAATTCAAAGTTAACATGGATTTTTGTTAGCTTTCTTGGGATACTGAAGAAAATTTATGATTGTGGCACCTCTAGATGGTTGGAAATGGCACTTCAAGACTCGAAATTTTAGTAGAATTTTCTTCAATCTTGAAAAATTTAGGGAGGGCCCAGGCCGACTGGGCCCCCCTTGAAACCGCCACTGACGATTCAACACTATAAGGTAGTAATGAGTAGGGTGAGGCAGAGTTCTCTGTATAGTCAGACACTATTTAGTGACTGAATCACTCTTTTTGCCAACAAAAATAACTACATATTCAATTGTACTGCCAAGATTCTGAATGTTAATTTTATACAGGTATAAAAAAAAAGTTACAAAAACAGTTAGCAAATTGTTAATTTTTCATAAGATTATTTGTTATAAACTTGAATTTTTTTTTTGAGAACAGAATCAATTACTGTTCATCAGTCCTTCCTCAACAACAGGACACCACAAAGCTCCCCTAGCCCAGAACTATATTCTACAGTAGGAAGGGTAGAAGGATAGTGTAGAAGGGAAGGGTAGGAAGGGTAAATATTTGCTTCTAATATCCTGAACAGTAGGTCGAACTTTGATGTGTAAAATATAAAGGAAGGTTTTAACATTCAATATTAAATGTACTCTTTATTGTGATCAACAGAAATGAAATATTATATAGATTTTTATCCACATGAATTTATTTCAAAGCACCATTGGTTGGCTTGTCAGGTCTGTTGAAAGCCATCAAATAATTATGCATTTTAACAACGACTTCCTGTGAAATATGGCTGTTTTTAATCATGTTTCCATTGTTATGGGGATAAGTTTACACACTAGCAATATATTTTTTTTTTTTTGCTGGACATGTCAATGCATACCATTGCTAACAAATTTTACATTGGATTACCGGTAATACGCTTCAGTTAAATTTAACATTGCTTTCCTTCTGCTGCAATACCAGTGGCGACAGGCAGGGCAGGAGTTGTACTTTGGTGCATGGCACCATCCGGGGGAAAGGTTTGGGAAGGTTAAGGTAAGCTGCTAGACACTCATACAGTGTTTTTACATAAGGATGGTGTTTCTTGTACCTCATCGGCATCCGAACGATTAATTTATGTAGGCATTTGATCTACAACATAGGGAAAATGCAACTCCAGCCCTGGGAATTATCTAGGTGATTGATGTGGACAACTGGTACCATTACTTAAGTTTAGATCATGGCGGTAATTTTGATTGGCCCTGTGTTACCTTACTAATTCTTTCATAGATAGATTTTATTGCAAATATTTATTACTTAGATTTTCATAATATTGGGAAAGTGATTTAGATGTATAATTTTTAGTTTTTAATGTTAAATATTACTTTATTAAAATGTTTAGAAGAGATGTATTGATAACTATTGATTTTATATTGTCACAATTTTAACAGACCATTAGCATTATTGTTTTATGGTTGCCTCATGTGATGCTACATCAGAATTTAAAAATGTACACATTCATTATCCATAGTGTTTCTCTGGACATCATGTGCTATGGAGACATACCACTTCGCTAAGAAGAGAGTTTAGGAATTCCTA